TTATGAAAAATTAACAAAATAGATAAACTGCTCGCAAGACAAAGAAGCGAGATAAGAATCAAATAGACACAATAAAAAATGATAAAGGGGATTTCACCACTGACCCCACAGAAATTCAAACTACCAACAGAAAATACTGTAGACACCTCTCTGCAAATAAACTAGAAAATCCAGAAGAATTGGATAAATTTTTGGACACACATACCCTCACAAGACTAACCCAGGAAGAAATTGAATCTCTGAATAGACCAATAACAAGCTCTGAAATAGCAGTAATTAATAGCCTACCAACCAAAAACAACCCAGGACCAGACAAATTCACAGCTAAATTCTTCCAGATATACAAAGAGGAACTGGTACTATTCCTTCTAAAACTATTCTGAACAATTGAAAAGGAAGGATTTTTCCTAACCCATTTTATGAGGGCAGCATCATCCTGATATCAAAACCAGGAGAGATACAACAAAAAAAGAAAATTTCAGGCCAGCATCCCTGATAAACATCAACGTGAAAATCCTCAAAAAAGTACTGGAAAACCAAATCCAGCAGCACATTAAAAACCTATCCAGCATGATCAAGTCAGCTGCATCCCTGGATACAAGGCTGTTTCAACATATGCAAATCGATAAACCTAACCCATCACCTAAACAGAACCAATGACAAAAACTACATGATTATCTCAATAGATGCAGAAAAGGCCTTTGATAAAATTCAACATCCCTTCATGTTAAAAACTCTCAATAAACTAAGAATTGATGGAACATATCTCAAAATAATAAGAGCTGTTTATGATAAACCCACAGCCAATATTATACTGAATGGGCAAAACAGGAAGTATACCCTTTGAAAACCAGTACAAGACAAGGATGCCCTCTCTCACTACTCCTATTTAACCTAGTATTGGAAGTTCTGGCCAGAGCAATCAGGCAAGAGAAAGAAATAAAGGGTATTCAAACAGGAAGAGAGAAAGGCAAGTTGTCTCTGTTTGCAGTTGACATGATTTTATATTCAGAAAACTCCACCATCTCAGCCCAAAAACTTCTTGAACTGATAAGCAACTTCAGCAAAGTCTCAGGATACAAAATCAGTGTGCAAAAATCACAAGCATTCCTTTACACCAACAGTAAGCAGAGAGCCCAATCATGAGTAACTCCCATTCACAATTGCTACAAAAAGAATAAAATACCTAGGAATATAACTTGCAAGGGATGTGAAGGACCTCTTCAAGGAGCACTACAAGCCACTGCTTGAAGAAATAAAAGAGAAAACAAACAAATGGAAAAGCATTCCATCCTCATGGATAGGAAGAATCAATATTGTAAAAATGGCTATACTGCTCAAAGTAATTTATAGATTCAATGCTATTCCCATCAAACTACCATTGACATTCTTCACACATTTAGAGAAAAACTATTTTAAATTTCATATGAAATCAAAGAAGACCCTGTATAGCCAAGACAATCTTAAGGAAAAAGAACAAAGCTGAAAGCATCATGCTATCTGACTTCAAACTATGCTACAAAGCTGCAGTAACCAAAACAGCATGGTACTGGAACCAAAACACACATATAGACCAGTGGAGCATAACAGAAACCTGAGAAATAACACCACACATCTACAACCATCTGATCATCAATAAACCTGACAAAAACAAGCAATGGGGAAAAGATCTCCTATTCATTAAATGGTGCTGGGAAAACTGGCTAGCCCTATGCAGAAAACTGAAACTGGACCCCTTCCTCACACCTTATACAAAAATTAACTCCAGATGGATTAAAGACTTAAATGTAAAACCCAAAACCATAAAAACTCTAAAAGAAAACTTAGGCAATACCATTCAGGACATAGGCACAGGCAAGGACTTCATGACAAAAACACCAAAAGCAATTGCAACAAAAGCCAAAATTGACAAATGGGATATAATTAAACTAAAGAGCTCCTGCACAGCAAAAGAAACTATCATCAGAGTAAACAGGCAACCTACAGAATGGGAGAAAACTTTTGCACCACCTTACACCAGTCAGAATTACGATTATTAAAAAGTAAGGAAACAACAGATTCTGGGAAGGCTATGGAGAAATAGGAACACTTCTGCACTGTTGGTGGAAGTGTAAATTAGTTCAACCATGAAATATCATTTGACCCAGCAATCCCATTAACCTGATATATACCCAAAGAAATACAAATCATTCTACTCTAAAGACACATGCACACATATGTTTATTTCAGTTATTACCTATTAACAATAGCAAAGACATGAAACTAACCCACCTACCCATCAGTGATAGACTGGATAAAGAAAATGTGGTACATATACATCATGGAATACTATGCAGCCATAAAAGGGAATGAGATTTTGTCCTTTGTAGGGACATGGATGAAACTGGAAGCCATCAACCTCAGCAAACTAACACAGGAACAGAAAACCAAACATCACATGTTCTCATTCATAAGTGGGAGTTGAACATTAAGAACATACTGACACAGAGAGGATAACAACAAACGCCAGGGCCTGTTGAAGGGTAGGGGGGCGAGGGGAGAGAACTTAGAGGATGGGTCAATAGGTGCAGCAAACCACCATGGCACGCATATACCTATGTAACAAACCTGCATGTTCTACATGTGTATCCCCTTTTTTTTTAAGAAATAAGAAAAAAAAAAAAAAAAGAAAATACTTTCTGATCTTGCAACATTTTCTTTTAAATAGCCCCAGTTGAGAGAGGTGGGTTCAGTCTTTAGAAATAGCCAAAAGAATATGGAGTCACATTTAGAAAACCCAGAAAAAAGAAAAAAAAAAACTATGAGTAATCCCATTTTTAGGACAAAATTCATTAAATTACTTATAAATGTTTTACAGGAATAACAGTATACTATGAAGGAGTTTTCTAAAGAGGAATTTCAAAAATATCGCAAGCCCCATTATTAACTGACATCTTCAAAGATAACCATTTGGAGGGAATTGTCTTCCTTTGCATGCTAAGTATGTCTGGGCAATTGGCAAGGTGGGTCTGAGGCACAGGGGAAAAGTCAGGTTTAGAAATATGCATTTGCCTGAAATATGCATATAGGAGTTAGGTCATGCCATAGTGTATGAAACTGCCCATAATAAGAATCCAATGGCAGAGAGAAGAGACTGTGGACAGCGTTCTGGAAGAGCCAGCTTTAGATGGACAGAGACCTCAATGTCAGTGAGAGATCCAGGAAAAAATGAGAGGTACAGAGGAAGTGAGAGAATAGAGATTGGCTGACAGTGCTAGTCACTGGAAAGAGATGCATTTGGAGAAAGAAAATGTGGTCCCAACCTGTGTGTGGAAGACCTGGGTGAGAGCGGAGGAGAAAGGAGCATGGAGTAGAGCCAGTAGCCTGTGAATGGATAAGCACATCAAGAATTTTTACAGCTCAAAATGCAAAGATACCACCTACAGTGAATATTTACAATTTTCCAAATTTATATAACCTCTTTGAGGTTACTGTTTCATTAACTAGATTAGACTTGAAATTTCTTTTGGTTGCCTTTCAAGACCAAATTTACCCCACAAATACTTGGTTGCCTTTCAAGACCAAATTTACCCGTCTTAGGAGGATAGGCAAATGAATGTACTACAGGTTTCAAAGCACTGCATACAAGTCATCGTACCTGTCAGAGTTCATCCCATGTATGAATTTATACACTTATTTATCCAAATTGACAGTGCAGCTCTTCAAGCATGGGAACCCTTTTCTTCAGCAACTAGCAAATTTTAGGACAATTGCTAGGCTCCCAAAGTTCCTTGATGTTACTAAAATAATCAAGGGTCAGGTGTTTATAGTCAGACTCCAAACATCTATATGCATCTCACAGTTTACCTGGACACTTAGCTTTCATATGTGCAGTATATGTGTCTCCCTTCTCAAATTTTCAACCTTCCCTCCTTCAAAAATATATTAATACTTACTATATGCCAAATGCTCTGCTAGAAATTATGTCTTCCTGAACATTTTGTCAGAATGTTTAACACTTGTGTATGTGACTTTAGTGACACCTGAGCTTTCACTACCAAGGGAAGCGTGCAGGAGTAAGCTAGCATTTACCTTTCATAAACTTTTGAAAGTTTTTTTTTTTTTTTTGCAAAAAAAAAAAACAGCTTTAGTGAGGCATAGTTTGTATGTTATACAATTATGACTTTAACAATTGTAGACTTCAAAAGTCTACAGTTTAAGAGTGCTCACTTTAGAAGTTTAAAGTCTATAATTCAGTAGTTTTTGGCATACTCACAGGGTTGAGCAACCATGGCCACTCTCTAATTTCAATCCCCCTCAAAGGAAACCTTGTACACATTATTAGTCATTCTTCAATCTTTCCCTTTCCTCAGCCTCTAGCCACCACTAGCTTGCTTTCCATCTCATGATTTACCTACTCTGGACATGTCATGTAAATGGGCTCATACAATGTGTAATCTTTTGTTGTCTGGCTTCTTTCACTTGGCAGATTTTCAAGTTTCATTCATGTTGCAACATGTATCACTACCTCATTCTTTTTTAAGAGTGAATAATATTTCATTGTACGTATATACCACATTTTGTTTACCCATTCATCAGTTGATAAACATTTCAGTTGTTTTCATGCCTTGGCTATTATAAATAATGCTGCTATGAACTTTTATGTATATGACCATTTGTGTGGACATGTTTTTGCTTCAACTTGGATATATATTTTGGAGTAAAATTTCTGGGTCATATAGTAACTTTAAGTTTTTGAGGAACTGCCAAGTTGTTTTCCAAACAAGATGTACCATTTAACATTTCCATTAGCAATGCATGAGGTTTTAAAAGTTTCAGTTTTAACTCAATGTATGCTCCAACAAAAACAAGCCATACATTTATTAATTTGGTATTTATACATTAAATCTCATTATCCTGATAACTATCTTGCATTTTCTACAGCACAAGACACAAGATACTTTCTCTTTACTGTGACATTGAGATAATACTCCATTGACTTCCTATTTCTTTCATTCTAGCCAAGGAGAGATGACAGAAGCAATTAAATACTTGGAAAAAGTTGTGAAAATTGCAAGAAACAATTTTCAAAGCCTAGATTTTGTGAAAGCAAGTACAATGCTTGGGGACATCTACAATGAAAAAGTGAGTCTATGCATTTCTTTTTTATAGAGAAATTTGCAGTGTTTAGGGAGAAATTTGCAGCTTTAAAAGTCTCATGTCATCCTTGTCTTCCCACAATGTATTATGCAGAGTGGCCAGGGATTGCAGGATGTAGTTAATGCCCATGGCAAGGACTGGGAGGAGAAATGCCTCTTCTTCCTCCTCCTCTTCTTCCAATACCTCAGGGCCATATGGGGACAGTACTTACGAGGTGCTAACCCTGATTCATACATTCATATTCAGTGAGGATTCTAAGTGACATTGGATTTGAGGAGCAATTAAAATATTTAATTCAAAGGAAATTGATTGTAACTGTTGGCTGTTATCTGCTTCCACTGACATTCATCTGTCTCACTCCAAATTCTTTATTAATCCAGCTGTGGCATTCCTTAGATTCCTTAGAAAAAGAAGTGACAATTCTGAAAATAATCTGTAGACAATGTAGAGTGGAATTTTAGCAGCAGATTGATTACCTGAGAGAAAACAGAAAGAAGAAAAAAAAGTCCAAAATAAAATTATCCAAGTCAAGAAGCTATTATTAGTATCATATACTGGTCATAATGGACTTTAGTCATATTTTTTCCTGATTTTTATTGCATATTCTCCTTTAGAAATGATGTGAAAGAGCCTCGTTTCTCTGACTATAATTGCTGTTTCGATCATGAATAAGATTTATCATTTTTTAGGGTAATTATGTTTATACATTTTCTGTTAATACACTTTCTGTATGTGTACTATACACTTTCTGTTAATCGCTTTGATAGGCTAAGTATGTAGTGAATAAAATCACTAATTCCAAAACCGCACTGCCTGAGTTAAAAACCCAGCTCTTTCACTTATAAGATCTGTGACCTGGGGCTAGTTACTTAAATTTCTAGGTGCCTCAATTTTCTCATCTCATAAAGTTGTTGTAAGTATTAATTTAATGTATGAAAAGCACTTAGAATAGTGCTTTACAGCAGGAGAAGTATTATCTTTATAAACTTTTGTTGTTCTGCACCCGGAGTGGCATCAAACAATTCCCCTTTGCCAGACCCTCAGATGATTCTGAGTGGCAGTGGTATTCAATCCCATTCTCCTAACCACTGCAATATTCTGTTGTTCACCATAACATTATTTCAGAAGGATTTAGCATTTTTTTTAAAGAAATCAAATTTGAAATTAATTTGAATGAATGAAACTAATATTTTAATCCCTGATGTGGGGAAAGTGCTTTCAGACAAAGTCTCTCATCTTCTTTCTCTCTTTCATCCCCTCTCTTGCTCCTCTGGGCTCATTTGCCTCCCCTGTCTCCTATTACTTGATATCTGAAAAGCCCCCTTTTCTTCTCACCCTCTTTCTCCCCACCTCCCTTGCTCACCTTGCTCCCTTCTGTCCTGCACCCTTTCTTCTCCTTTGCTCTCTGACCCCCAGGTCGTCCTCTGCCTCTCTCCCATCTCCACCACTTTGTTTACCCTCTTTTTTTTTGGCCTCCCCTGTCTGTTGCCCTAGCTGTGCTCAGATTTTGCCTGTCGTGTGCTTCCTCTGCTACCCTGTGGCTCCCCAGCCATGTCTTTGCCTTTATTGACTCTTCTCTCCTTGGTTTTATATTTGCTTTTGTTTGCTTTTCAGGATACACTAGTGAAAAAAAGACAAGACCTAAACCCTTGTGAAGCTCACAGTCTAAATGAGGGAGCTTCTCCTATAGCATAGGAGAAAAGACATAGTCTGTGAATATATGCAGTATGATACGGTGTATGAATCAACTTATATATTTAAAGGCACATATATTTGAAGATAGTGCAAATGCCCAGAATCCTCCAAACTTTCCATTAGAAAAGGGATAGATAAACTGATAAAGTTTAACTTCTGGCAGTTGACATGGCTTTTGGATATTAATTTCTTATATTTTACCTTCAGATATTAAACTCTTCTCCAAGAATCAAACATCAGATAATAAAATACACACTGATGAGATATAAACTTCTGGCAAAAACATTAAGAAAATACAAGCATAAAAATATTGTCCCTCAAAAAAGTTTGTTTTCCTTGTGCTTTTATACAGAAGATCTGGGTTTGGGTATTGTTTGGAGGTAGGGTAAAAGGTTGTTGGCACAATCTCTGCTCACTGCAACCTCCAGCTTCCGAGTTGAGACGATTCTCCTGCCTCAGCCTCCCGAGTAGCTGGAACTACAGCACATGCCACCATACCCAGTTAATTTTTTTGTATTTTTAGTAGAGACTGGGTTTCACCATGTTGGCCAGGATGGTCTCAATCTCTTGACCCATGACCCTCCCACCTCAGCCTCCCAACGTGCTGGGGTTACAGGTGTGAGCCACCACACCCGCCCTGAAGAACTTTCCTTTTTAAAGCTCAGATCTCTCCCTTCAATTCCAAACTCACACCCAAACACCTACTTGACATCTTCACTTAGATTCCTTCACTATAACGTACTAAAAACTGAACTCATCATTCTTTTCTCTAAATTTTATTCTTCTAACAACTTAAATCTCAACCACATTAGAATATTATTTAATCATTTTCCAAACAATCTTCTCTTTTTAATCTATGAGCTCCTCTTATCTTCCTCATCCAGGCCCATGGCTTTTAAATACTATCCATATGCCAATGACTTCCAGATTTGTATCACCAACCCTGATCTCTCCTGGGACTCCAAACTTGTAAAGGCAATTGCTTCCTTAGCACCTCACCTGGATTTCTAACACATCTCTCAAATGAAACCTGCTCCTCTCTAGTCTTCCCCATCTTAGTAAATGATCCATCCATCCAGTCACTTAAGCCAAAAATCTGGAAATCCTTCAGTTCTTTCAAGCCTTCTCTCCCCGAGCTCCCTATTCAATCCAAAAGCAAACTCTGACCTTTAAGCTACCAAAATATATCTCAAATCCACCCACTTCCCTCTGTCTCTACAACTGTCACATCAGTTTATGACACTATACTGTCTCACCTAGACACTGCAGAAAGCCCTAAACTCATCTTCCTGTATGTACTCTCTTCCCTCCAACCCCCACATAGGTCAGTTTCTACACAGACACCAAAGTAATTCTTTTAAAATGTAAATCAGCTTTTCCGCGAGGGCTCCAAACGGTGTTGTTCTGGATTCCCCTCGTAACTTAAAGGGAAACTTTCACAATGTCCGGAGCCCTTGGTGTCTTGAAAATAAATAAATTAAATAAAATAAAATGTAAATCAAATCATGCGGTTTCTCTGCTTAAGACACTTCCATGATTTCTCATTCTTCTGAGAACATAAATATAAATCCTTACCCTGTTCTAAAATATGAGATACCTCCCATCCCTATCTCTGACCTCATTGCTTTCTACTTTTTATCCACTTCACTGTAGCCAAATTGGCCTTCTTGGAGTTCTTTAAGCATGTCAAGCTAGTTCCTGCCTTACAACATTTGCCTTGGCTGGAATGCTTTACATGAAATGCTCTGAACTTCACATTGCCGGCTTCTTATCACTCAGATCTCTGTTCAATGCCGCATCTTCAGAGGGGCCTTCCCTTAGCAACCAAAGAGTGGCCATCAGGTCATCTCCCCACCCCCTCTTTTTTTTAATAGAGGCAGGGTTTTGCCATGTGGCCAAGACTGGTCTTGAACTCCTAGACTCAAATGATCCTCCTGCCTCAGCCTCCCAAAGTGCTGGGATTACAGGCATGAGCTGCCCCACCCGGGTCATTCTTTAAAATTACTGTGTTTGAATTATCCATGTAGCATTTATCTCATAGTTTTCTCGATCATGTTATTTTCTTATTATTGTTGTTTAATTTGTGCAAAATGTAAGCTTAATGAGAGCAGACACTATATCTGCCTTGTATATTATTCTAGTCTCTAGAAAAAAACCTGGCACAGAATTGGTGATCAAAAATATGTCCATTCCTTGAACCAATAAATACATTTGTAGCCAGTTTGATACCACTTAAGAGTAGTATTTTCTCACTTGTGAAAGTTTAGACTTCTATTTCATTTTTTAGTTTATTTTTATTTTTATGTTTTTTGAGACAGTGTTTCGCTCTTGTCGCCCAGACTGGAGTGCAGTAGTGCAGCTTCGGCTCACTGCAACCTCTTCCTCCCTGGTTCAAACAATTCTCCTTCCTCAGCCTCCCACATAGCTGGGATTACAGGCACCTGCCACCATGCCCAGCTAAGTTTTGTATTTTTAGTAAAGACAGGGTTTCACCATGTTGGCCAGGATGATCTTGAACTCCTGGCCTCAGGTGATCCTCCTTCCTTGGCCTCCCAAAGTGCTGGATTACAGGTGTGAGCCACCATGCCCAGACTCTATTTCATTTTTGTATAATATTTTAAGATTCTGAAAACTTGTTCTGAATCTTTAAAAGCAAACTCAATATTTTCTGACTTCATATTACTCATGAAATGCAATTATATTCTTAACAATTTTCAAGAAAAAAATACTATTATAAGACTAAAATTGTAATAATTGGAAAAATATTGGCATTACCTTTTCTGTAATTATTATAATAGTTATAATTAGAACGAGCACATCTTAAAAATATCCTATATGCTAGTTAGTTACCTTTTACTATGTAATCATGGAAAATGGACCTTTCATCCTACCCTCTGGGTCTTTTGATGGCCTGTTAATTGAAAATATATAATTAGTGTAAAGTGGTCAAATGAGAATGTTTTTAGAGGAAATAACTAGGTTTATAAGATTTTTCATTCCTTAATAAAATCATAGAATAATGACATAGTTAAAATAATGCTGTTTCCAACACTAAAATTATAGGGAAAATGGGTAGGAAATGATTTATCCCTACTACTGAGAAAATGCTTATTTATTTGGAGCTTGCTCATTGAATAGAGTGACATTTTAGACACTAAAAATCAGAATAATTCATGAAAATTCTATGTTATAATGTCATAATTCAAGCCTTATTTCAAGGTCTATGATGTCATCAAGATCTTGTTCTGGAATTGTCTGCTAAATGCTTATCAGGGATATTAGTAACATTA